GAATTCACCTTGCAACTAGACTATAACATCCATAAAAATGCAAAGCTGTTGTCTGATTTATTCTTACGTTTTATGAAATCTCAAGCCATTAATCCTTAATGGCCTTTGCACAAAAGTATGATAGATACATTTTCGTCACTAAGTTTGCCCAAGTAGATCAGCATCAGAAGAACAGCTTTTGAATTAGAATTAGCAGATCCAAAGGAATTTAGAAAAAAATCCCAACAAAACTGTTCGATTTCTTTTATCACAGCATGAACACCTTCTGCTATTAGGATCAGTCACTAACAAAAAAGAAAAAAAATAATCAAAGATCACCAAAATAAAAATATTAGCTCATTAGTACGTATTTGGTAGAAGGCAAATATTATCTTCCAACCATCAGCTAACATCTCCAATTAAATAGAATAAATTTCCCCTTACCAGTGCCTGAAAAGATGTCCATCATCATAACACAGTCAACACGCAGGGGAGCTCAGGGTTGTGAAGGGTTAAAAATCATGTTAACTGGTATGAGCCCAAGCGTACAGTCACCATGTCCTACTCTGACAGTGTGATTTACAGCTGCCCTGCCCAAATTCTCACACTCTGGCAAATTTATTTTTCGCCTTCACTGAGGAGTAGTCATCCCATATTCATGTAGGAGAAGAATATGCACAAGAGTGATTTTCAGTATTTCAGAAGTTCTCTTCTCAACCTAGCCTCCCAGCAACTTGTTTGTTGCGATGGGGCCGGAAGGTGACAGCAAATTCACCTCAGTGAATCAGGGAAGAATTAACCATGCTTTCAAGTACCTGTATTTTAAATGCACAGCAGGCTCATTTAAACACAGCTGGCACCCTGCCCTCTTCTCCAAGCCTTACCTCAGCATTTATGTTTCCATAGTCTCAAAGACTCTCGCCATTATCTTCTGACCTTTCCCTTTTATTTTTGTCTTTGTAAGTTAATCAGTAACCAGAGACTTCTGCCAACAGTTTCTGATACTGACTTCAAGGTCCTGTGGCACACAAAGTATTACGCGATTCTGTATGTGGTTACAAATACTAGCCATCTATACAGCAAATTCCCTCCTTTCCTTACAGTTAAGCTCCCCACTCTTCCCTTACACTATGAAGAAAAATAAAAAGGTGTATTTCACATACTGCAACACTGTATCAGCAAATCTAAAAACCGATTATATCATGCAAAATACTCTTAACCGTACCTGCAGATCACAAGGAACAAGCCTTGCCACGTTCCTATTTAAGGAGGCTAAGAGACATAAAAAGAGCAAGACATTTTTTATGAGACAGTTACTGAGCTTTAATTTCCCCCCATCATTATCCACATCAGTTTATGACTGCAAACAAGTGCAAGCAGCATTTAAGATACTATTGCTATAACTATTTTTAAAGTCTTTACCTCACAGGGTTAGGAAAAAAACAATGATATGCAACACAGCCATAACCATAAAACTGCAGATGGTAGCTTTGTTCTTGTCTAATAATGAGATCTCATTAAACCGAGTGTTTAAACCTTAAATATTTGAGAAAAGAACCCTTCAGTAAATGTTAGTTAAAATAGTCAAATCATTCTAATTAAGCAACCATCCTTTTCTTTGCTCAGCTTTCAAGTTCTTTTTTGTTATTTTATCATTTACATAGTTTGCCACTTCTCCATCTTCCAGTCTAGACAGCCTCAAAATTTCTTAATAAAGGAAAAAGGGAAGAAGAAAAAAAGAAAGAAAAAAGAGGCACTCAAACTTATCTTTCAGCCTTGTAAAGGAGGTGACGGGAGTACAGTCTTTCTTCTCGTCTTTTTTGATCCTAAGTGAGATTACCTTGAAGACTCCTTTGGCCAAACTCATTCAGAGAGACAACGGACAGAAACTTTTCTTAATTCTTTCCAACTCTATGACTTTGCCCTCTACCTGTTCTGCATTATTATTATTATTATTCAGTCTTCAAGCAACAAACTTTGCATAAAAGGAAGGCCTTACTAACCATCATGTATCAAGTTTTCTCTCTGAAATATTATTGTCTTTCACAAGAAACTGCAGCAGCACACCAGATACTTAGCTGTGACACAGAGGATTAATACTTATTTTTGCTTATTGCTTTCTCATCAAGCCAGCCACAAAATTAAAGGAAATAGCTGCCAGCCTATTCAAGTTAAAATTGCAAAATAGAAGGGGAAATGACACAACAGAAAAGTAGAATTCATGTAAAATGTTGGCAATATTTAAGCAAAACTCAGTAATTTTCATAAATTAGCACTACAGAGTAAGTCATATTTTTGAATAATGCTTCTCTATTTTCCCACTTCAATGTGATATGGCAGGAAGCAATTAATGGAGACACATTCCCTTGTATTTAGCTGGAAAGAATTAATCTAGCATCTCATTTGTGGCATTGTCTGTTTGGAAAAACAATTCTTGCCCACATAGAACAGTCTATTCCACATGTAACTCCAGAGATTAGCAGTTCTTTGTTCTTTAAATACATATAAAGAAATTTTATGGGACCCCATGTGGAAAATTTAATCTTCACAAAGGCTTTGTTACATATGTAGGCAAAGTGCTCTACAAAGTCATTTATCTTTAAAAAAAAAAACAAACAACAACCAAAAAAACCCAGACATCCAGAAAACCAATTCACATAAAGATCTGAAATCTAGTATTATCTACTACGGATTAAATAAGAGTGTTAATTTTTTCCGGTTTCTTCTCCCTTCCCTCTTTTCTACTCAAAACTACAAAACCTGTCTAGATTAAACCCCATTTTCCTTTTTTTTTTTTTTTTTTTTCTCTGTATGCACAGCACATAGTCCATGCTTTTCTGCTCAGTTTTACATAAAATCTAAAGCTGGAAACTAGTTATGTCCTCAATGATTAGGCACTTATTTCTGTAGGAGTAAAGGCTGTTAAGAACACCTGAGAATTGCATTAGAAAGATAAATAAGAGGTACTAGATACATTTTTTTTTAAATATTAACTTTAGTAAGGTTTTTGGAAAGAGATCTGCTAAACCTTTCAAAAGTACAGGCCTCTTAAAGAAAAGCCTCATACTTTGCCACTGAAACAATTACAGCAGGTTCTAAGGAATGCGAATACAAAAGACAAATGAGCTTTCCACAGATCCAGTAATATCATTAATATATCCTATCTGTGTAATTCCAAGATCCACAACAAAACAAACAAACAAACAAGCAAACAATATATATACAGGGCACATTCTTGTTTTAGCTATTCTCTGTGTTACAATGGGTTTGCAATCAAGCGCAAGGCAAGATACATGTATGACACCAAATTTATGAAAGAAATAAGATCGCTCTTTCACACTGCCAGAGTCTAAGTGTGTGTATCATACTTGTATCTGTAACAACCTCAGAATACTGTTTAAAAACACGACACAGATATTCCTGCAAATTTGTTTGTTCCAGACAAGGAAAACTGTCAGTTTAAACAAAGGAGAAGAAGGCAGCAGACAGAGCACAAGCACCTCCTGTCCAACTCTTCAGAAAACAGGAAAGCACCAAACACACTGGTCAGAGCTAATATTCTTTCAGGAAAAGATGTGAAAACAGTTTGCAACTGACATTTCTACCTGCATTCCTCGAAGGCCAAGGATAGTGAGCTGGCACAAATACGCCAGTACAAGTCGGCACAGCTGAGCCCCAACTGAAATCAGATGTAAAAAGGAAAACAGGATTCAGTCACAACCAAAAATTGTTGTGAAGCTGACAATTTTCACTGTCCTAAGTGTCTGCATTATTTTAAAGGGGGCAAAATGCTGTATGCTGCAAGACAGCAGTAGGACACATGACTGACTCCTTTTACTACCATGAGGGCAGCAGAAGAGAAGCTTTTTGATTATGTGCCTCAGGCCTGGATTTTTTAGGCAACACTTAAGGTTCAGAGGGGCAGCAGCTCCACACCCCTGTGCTCCACTAGTGCCTAGTCACTGCCAAGGCTTTTCAAGGAAGGACTTCGACTCCTTGATCTGTGAAAGCAGCTGGAGGAACACCCAATCTTTCTCCCTGCCTTACCCCTCCTCAGCAGGAGCACTTTGAGGAAAACTTCACCATTTCTCTCCAGTTTCCATCACCCCAGCAAAACCCAGAAAGTTCTCTCATACCCAGCACGATGTTTGCTTCAGCTAATTTGTTACACAAGGACAAATTCTTTGTCCTTTCCCACAGTTATGAAACATGTACTTTGTGCTATACAAAAAGCTACATGGCAGCACCACAATCTTAAATAAAGAGGAAGCTATTGCTTCAGCATTTGTAATCTGTAATAAAGGAAGCACACCATCAAGCTGTAACGCTAATTACACAGCACAACCTGAAGGAAATTGCCCTTCCTAAAAAAGTTAAGAGGTTAAACACCAAAAAGTTTCAAAATGACACTTTTCCTGGATTTCCACTAGGGAGGGAACAAGTATGACAGCACAGCTGTAATGACTTAAAAATCTACATGCAGCTCCCAAACATGATACTCGTTCTCAGTGACTTGCCAGTCCTCACTTAAGGGTGAATTCCTGTGAAGACACATTTTACGAACACTGGCTTTAAGAGGACTGACTGCTCTCTAATTGCTGATGAGCCCGGCTCCTGACAGGAGGGAGAGACGAGCCCCGTGCCAAAATCAGATCACACCACACTTCGCTGTAACAAAAGATGACTCCAGGGAGTTTGTGCTCATCATCGTTATTCCACACACGTAAGAGCCACCTCCAAAGGCTTTTACTTCAATTAAACCTTTACTACTGTAAAGGGCAGCCAGGGTATAAACACATTTATACTGCACTGACTGTAGAAGGGTAATGAGAAATAAAAGGAACAGAGTATCCTCGACCCCTATTTGGACACTCGTGCTCTCCTCCCCCATCCCCCCAACAATGTCTCAAGATAACCACACAAACCTGGCAGGTGAGAACAATCACCCCTTGCCTTGTAATCATCCACCCCCGAAACCCCCCTTTTTGCTTTTTGTGCCTTTTTTCCAGCTGAGCACTTGCCTCTCCTCCATGCCCATCAAATATCCCGAAGATGGAGGGGTGAGTCTTGTTCACCAGGTCAGTGATTACTTCGAACCTGTCCTCCATGTGATCCCTCCGGCCTTGGATGGAGTAGACAGCCACGTTGTGGCTCTTGAACTCCCAGGTCTTGGAGAACTCTGCGTCCAGCACATCTAGCCCCCCGAGCCTGTCATTCTGCATGATCTCAGCCACCTTGCCCTTCACCATCTTCACCGCATCCCTGCTGGACTTAACAATGGTTTTCACCTCATCCGTGTGGAAGAAATAACTCCACAGGGCCAGGCTGATGCACAGCAAGAACAGGGTCTCCGGTCTAAGCAAGAAGTAACGCATGATCCGACCCAGCAGAGACAGCAAAGTCATTGTATCCTCTATCATTTATTATCGAGATCGTGTATCCCCACACCATGCAACTCGCACCCGGCGGCCGGGGTGGCTCTGAGCCGAGGCAGCGAGTCAGTGCATGCTCCTCCGCTGAAGTCCCGCGCCCGCCGCTCCCTCCTCGCGGCGGCGGCCTCTGGGGGCCGGCTCCGCTCACCGCCGCTGCCGGGCGGCGGCCACCTGCTCGTCCCGGCCCCGCGGCGCCCCGTGCCTCCCGTGGAGGGGCCGCACCGCCAGGAGCGGGGCGAGGAGTGGGGCCCGGCCGGGCAGGCTTCACCAGTGCCGCACCCCCCGCGGCTGCGTCTCCTCTCAGAGCCCGAGCTCGCCTCGGGCACCCCTAGGCCGCTGCTCCGCCTCAGGGCCCCGTGGGAGGCCGCCGCGCTCCGCCGCTCTCGAAGCCCGGCCGGCCGCTGCGAGAAAGTGCCTCCAGGGCCGCCCGCGGGTACCTGTCTCCCGTGTCCCCCACGCCTTGCGCCGTCCCTCCCCCGGGGCGGAGCGCCGCTGCTGCTGCTGCCACCGCCTAGCCCGACTACAAGCCCCGGCGGCCGTCGCGGGAAGCGGGGGATATTGCGCGAAGGGCGCGAAGGGTTCTGGGGCCCGTAGTGTCGCGGCGGGGCTGGGCTTGGGTCTGTCCGCGCAGGGTGGGAGCGGGGCTGGGAGAGCTGTGCAGTCCCTTGTTTACAGAGAGCCCGGGCTGCCCTCTGGAGGAGCGCAGAGCAGCAGGTTCTGGAGTGTAGCTGGCCCTATCTCCAAAGGCGGGGTGACCCTACCGGCCACCCTGCTTCTGCTTACAACCCGAGACGGCCAAGACACGAAACAGGGCTGAGATTTTGCTGGAAGGTAACCTTACAAGACTGTCAGGTAGTCTCCAGGTACATCCACGGACATGCAAGTGTACGGGAACCAAAGCAGGAATTTCTCAGTTATTAAACTGATGGCAGAATTTGCCTGGACAGCATTCTAATGGAAATCCCCCAGTGTTCAAAAGAATTGTTTTATTTCTCCAATCCATTTCTGTAAACCATCGTTTTTCTGCTAACTGATAAGGAATGAAAATTACAAGCTGTGAGGGTGGGAGCGCAAGCTGGCTGGAATATAAACAACAATTTGGCATAGTGCCCAAGCTGTGAATGAGCCGAAGTGATTTTCAGCTGACTGGCAGGCCAGGTGTCCAAAACCTGACAAAATTAGCCTCGGAGGGTATGACAGCTGATATAATATTCAAACACATACGAGTGGTGTTGAATTATCAAGCCACAAAACCAGTCTGAAATTGTGAGTGGAAAATTCAGTAAAGTGCCTTTATAGCCAAGGCTGAGCATTTGGGTCTACACCTTCTAGTCTTTCAGCAGCTCCTACCCCCTTAGGACTTTGTTAACACTGAATTTACACATAAATGTGCATGAACTATTGTTTTGCTAGTTTTCTTAAAGATCATCTTAAGTACATTACATAACCCCAGCCCTGGTTAACACAAAGCTAATGATTTCAGCTTTTTTGTGTCTGATTCTTACATCTAACTCTGAGAAGCAGGAACAGTAATTACAGTTGTTGTCTATAACTGATACTGCTGTATATCTCAGAGGTACATCACACTTTGTCAGTATTTCAAAGGACTTTCCAAAGGTGTACATTTAAGGGCTGAAGAAACACTTACCTTGATTATGTTCCCACCTATGACTGTCTGCTTGAGTTGAGCTTCAGGCTCTTTACCTGAAAGGCCAAAACATGTGTCCGTGAGTTCGGTGGTCTGTCAACAACACAGTCGTTGCAGCATCTGTGGCTTACGATGCTGCTGGAATAGCTAACTGAATGAGTACGCCCAAGAAACAAGACTAAATGTGACAAAAAGGCTAAAATAAGTTGCACCGATGAAATAATATTTTTGTTACTACAAACTGTATAGCTACATCTAGCCTGAAGAGTTTCAGTCAAACTAAGGCCCCATTTTGTGAATAGAGCTTTTCTAGCAAAACGTTTTGGTTTAAACAAAGCCTGTTCTGTCTAAAATGTGTCTTTGCATGCCTGGGACACTTGCATTACAACACAGATTCCTCAGAGCAGTCAGTTTGTCTTTGTGTCTGTGCCCTTTGCTAATTTCTTCTCCCTGGCCCTGTGCTGCCAGCATCAATCCCCTTTGAGTTGTTCATCATACTGGCTGAAAGCTGTATGTGGCCGCTAAGCAAAGTTGGCTCTGTAATGACTGTGTTTGGTTTTAATAGCTGTATTATGGTTTCATTTAATTTGGTGTTTAATGGCAGATAAAATAAATGTAAAAATGTGGAGAACACCGCTCACTACCATCAATGAATTCATTGTTTATTTAACTATCATTTTAATGGCATATAAATGTGTATATACTGTGAGAGAACAGCAACCTGTATGGAAGTTGTGTTTTACAAGTTGAATTCAGACTATGGAATTGCAAAGTGAAATAAAGCAGTTTCAAGTGCACAAATCACTCTTCCAGCCACCAGCATGCATCTCCTCACTGTTATTTCAGTTGCTGAGGTCTAGTACCCATATACTGCCCAACAGTTTTGTCCAAAGGATTGCAGGATCCTCACTGTGGTAAATGCCCACAGAAACAGAAGATGCTCTACGCTACCTTGGAGGAGTCCATTAGCAAAGTAATAATTGTTGCCTATCTTTGTTATGCATATTTTATACTGCAAGAGAATTGGAGTTGGTTCTAAAAGCATCTCAGCTGTGAAAATATGATCTGAAGGGCTCTGCAGCAGCAGAGTGTCCAAAGCTTTCCTTTCTGAGCAGGAAGCAGATGAAACAATAAGGTACAGGCAAAGTGTTCTTCTAACGAACAGATGCAATGGGGCAGCAACTGTCGTCATGGTGGGACCACCTCAGAGGGATCCATGTAATTATTCCCACCTTGAAATGGAATTGTTCACTAATTAAAAGTGAAAAATGCAGGTATTGAGTACATGTTCTACACTAATTTACTGTTAAGTGCAAAACTTCAAAGCAACATGGAGAGAGTGCAGTAGGCTGATCAAGAGGTGGGCCAGCAAACCCACCTACAAGTTCCATTCTGCACTCTGTGGTGGAGTCCTGCACCGTTTACTCTAGCAAATCTCCCCAGTAAGATATAGAACTTTGAGACCCAAACATGTTCAAAAGCAGTTACTGAGTCAGCTTCACAAATAAACTGATGAATTTTACACTGCGTAATGACTTGAACATGTGGAAAACATTTCTTGCTCAACAGCTCCTCCTACTGCTTACACGTAGCATGAAGTGATCAAGACATAATTTGGTTTTATGCCTTGGCTACCGAAGCAAATAATCTGCTATTACAAACGCATTCATTGTCTATTTAGTGCTGTAACACACAAGAATTGCCTCTATGTTGCCTGATATGGAATTAGATGAGAAATTATTTTGGGTCCAAGAACAAAGCAACATGTAACTTTCATTCATAGGCAATTTTTATGGTACACAGAATTTAAATACAGAATAAGATATTTGAGAAAGCACTCACTTTTTGCTAGTCTGCACAATACTGTCACTGTTAGCATTACAATTTATTCCTTAGAATAAAAAAAATAATGCTTTTGGTTGTAAGAAGCCTCACTTTGTAAAGATACTCACAAGGATAACTTAAAAATAGCCATTTCATTTACTGTAGTTACAAACCGAATTTATTATTATTTTACCATGGGGAAGAACAGTGAAGATACTGAATAGGTCATCAACTTTACTGCACAATTTCACTAACACAAAGCATTTAGTTTGATGGAAATTTCCTTGTAAAAATACTACCAAAATCTGTAAAATTTCTATTCTGTAGCATTCTCTGGGATGCTAAAATTTTGAATATGCTTCTGTTATTATGTATTGTATTCTTCTGCCTATTAGAAAAACCTTCTGAGGATTTTCAGATTCAGTCAGTGCTATCAGCATAATCAAAAGTGCACACTAACATAGCTTACTGCAGGCTAGTCCTTGCACTGCAGGTCAGAACACTGAAACGTATATCAGAATATCCCCGGAAGCTTACAGAGGCACCTCCCTTTCTTTCTGTTAATATATACAATCACAATAGATAAAACAGTACCAATGCTATAAAACTGGCTTTTTGCATGTCAGGAGTAAAACTGCAATATAGCAAAATATTTTGTACTTTTCAGATGTTTTAAATAAATAAATTTTAGAATTTAGGATTCTGTCTGTCATCATTCAGGATGCCACACAGCTCTCCAGAGGAATGACAGTATAGCAGTATCATGAACTGTCTTCTACAATAGTTTTGGTAAATAAACAGGTAAATAAAGTTCAGCTTTTCTGCCAATGACTTTTATCCTTTCTTTTGATCTCAGCTGATATAAACAACACTTTCTAAGAGTGTTTCCAGAATTTTATGTTGCAGAAAATGCCAAGCATTGCAGGTAAATTCTGCCTTCTCCCAGGTAAACCCATGAGAAATCTTACTGGAATTTTGCTCATTTTGCATCTCTGTTGAAGAGGAACATTTGCAGATGGGGAATGAAAATAGCAGTTTTCCACACAAGTTGCTCTTTTTTGTTTTCCTTGATTCTCAATTTTCATTCCTCATTATAGTGCATTTTCACGTGTAAAGTCTGATTTTTGTCAATTTCCTGGCAACACAAAGTAACAATGAGAATGAGAGTCACAGGATGCAGGGAGATTTCTAGAAAATTAAGAGTCATGTTTTAGCAACATCCTCTATTTAACATAAGATTCTGCTATGGAATAGAGTGCACCAAACCATAAAGTGAAGCAGTGTATCGCTGTGCAGCTGAAGCACATCCTGGGTGCATTGGGAAGTTTATATGTAGGCAGGTGCCTGCATACAGGCAGATAACATGAGAAAGGAAATCCCAGACCTGGCTTGCCAATGTTAGAATATATGATTTCTGATTATATGTATATGATTTGGTGTCAGTTATTCCTGAAGCTAACATTATTTCAAGAAAACAAAACCCTGTCATTTCTCAAGTAAACTAAGGGTTGGTTTTTATTAGTGTTTACATGTTCTTGTTTACTTTTAATATCAGAGCCAAACTCTCCTGTGATACACACAATCAAGAAAAATCTAACCAGGGATTATTTGAGAAGGAAATTACGGGGTCTATCAACTTACAGACACTTGAAGTAATACAATTCTGATATTGCAGGAAAGAATTGGCTATCACAGGTGAAAAGTAAAGCATTTTTCTAACAGTAGTCTCACAATGCTAACATAAAGACAAT